TCAACAAAGTGTCACCACCTCTCAAAAATCCTCCACTCGCCCGACCAATACCAACCTCCCTCGTTCCTCTAATAGATCATCACCTCGCATAATCTGTCAAATATGTGAGAAACCCAACCACCATGCTCGTAATTGCTACAACCGCACCAACATGGATACTTACCCACCAACCCGATCCTCTAACCGTCCACAAGCCAATATGGTTACTCCCTCGACTAATTCTATGATGTCTCCTTCGGCTATTATTGATAATTCATGGTTTGCGGACTCAGGTGATACCAATCATGTTACGTCAGACTTGTCTCAACTATCTATTCACACAGACTATAATGGTGAGGATCAGCTTGCTGTAGGTAATGGCCAAAAACTCTCTATTAATCACATCGGCTCCTCTAAGCTTTCTTGTGCTACTCGACCTCTTCATCTTAATAAAATTCTTCATGTTCCTTCCATCACCAAGAGTTTACTGAGTGTTTCTCAATTTACTAAAGATAATAATGTCTTTATGGAATTTCATCCCTCATGTTGTTTTGTGAAGGATCCTCAAGGAAAAATACTACTCCGCGGGTCAATTGATGATGGTTTATATCGTTTCGATGGTGGTGGGCTTCCTGTTATCTCATCCTCAACTCCTCGCGCCTTTGTCATATCTCGAGCATCACTCCAAGCGTGGCATGAGCGCCTTGGCCATCCCCATGAGCAACTTTTACGTCGTCTAGTCTCTAGTTTTAATCTTCCAGTGACTTCCAACAAAATGCCTGCAGTTTGTGGATCTTGTCAATTAGGAAAAAGTCATAGGCTCCCGTTAGCATCTTCCTCAAGTCGTAGTTTATTCCCTTTCGATTTGGTGTATTCTGATGTTTGGGGGCCTTCTCCGCATCTTTCTATTAATGGAAACAAGTATTTTGTTCAGTTTCTTGATGATTCTACTAAATTTGTTTGGATATTTTTCTTGTCAACAAAATCACAAGTATTTGATGTTTTTAAATACTTTCATAAGATGGTTTCCACGCAATTTGGCAGAAACATCAAAACGTTGCAAACTGATTGGGGTGGGGAGTATCGTAATGTGTCTTCATATGCCCAATCTATCGGCATAACTCATCGTCTCTCTTGTCCTCACACTCATGAACAAAATGGGGCTCCAGAAAGACGTAACCGCACCATTGTGGAGAAAGGACTAACTTTACTTGCTCACGCATGTCTTCCATATCAATACTGGGAGCATGCTTTTTCTACCGCCACATACCTACATAACCGTACCATCACTCCCATACTATCCTTTAAGTCACCCTATCAAGCTCTATATCATCATCCACCGGATTACTCCTTCGAAAATTTGGGTGTCTATGCTACCCTTTTCTACGTCCTTACAATCATCATAAAATTGATTTTCGCTCTCTTCCGTGTGTCTTCTTGGGTTATAGTTCGAAGCATAAAGGTTATCTATGTCATTATCCCCCCACCAATAGGATGTAAATTGCTCGTCATGTGACGTTCGATGAAGATAGATTTCCCTATCCTCATTACAATAAGTTTTCTTCTTGCTCCAGTGACAACTCACCACCCTCATCCTTAACTTCTCTACAATCAATTTCCAATGCGTTTCCCACATCTGCTGCCTCACCTTTACTCCATTCACTGGCAGATTCCCCTTCCTCATCCTCCCCACCCACTCGAGTCCTACCAGTACCTCATTCATCCACCACAATATCTCCACCACACAATACATATCCGCCCACCGTCGCGTCCTCTGCTTCAAGCACATATCAGAATGCTCCCACATATTTCCGGCCTGCTACTTCTTCCAATCATCATATGACCACACGAGCTCAAACAAATTCCCTCAAGCCTAAAACACTTGTTGTATCTCGCCATCCTACCCCAGTTTCATCCGTCATAGCCAGTGAACCAAAAACCTATAAGCAAGCTGCATCCTCTCCTGAGTGGTTGTGCGCCATGGAAGCTGAATATCAAGCATTGCGTCGTAACTGCACTTGGACACTTGTTCCCTGCCCTCCCACTGCAAATGTGGTGGGTTGCAAATGGGTATACCGTATTAAGCGACGAGCAGATGGTTCAATCGAAAGGTACAAAGCTCGCTTAGTTGCCAAAGGTTTTCATCAAGAAGAGGGGGTGGATTTTCATGATACATTCAGCCCAGTTGTCAAACCTTCAACCATCAGACTTGTTTTATATTATGCAGTGACTAAAGGTTGGGCTCTTAAGCAATTAGACGATAACAATGCATTCCTTAATGGTGACCTTACGGAGGTTGTTTACATGTCTCAACCACCAGGCTTTATTGACAAGTCTCACCCACATTTTGTGTGTCGCTTGTCGAAAGCGTTATATGGACTAAAGCAAGCTCCTCGCACCTGGTTTCTCAAGCTCAAAACATTTCTCCTATCGCATGGTTATACTTGTTGTTACTCTGACTCATCCTTGTTTGTCCGTCATACTCCTTCCTCC